AGCTGATCATATAAAAATTTCATTTGCATATGATACAAAAAGTTGGTAATTATAATAAACCACTGACGTGTGTTTGTTTGATAGTAAAGTAGGACTTTATTGAGTAGTAAGCAATAATCAACAAAAAACACCTTTGAAGATAATACATTGAGAAAATCCAGCATGATAATGATAATAATTACATCAATAATGAAAGAATAATATTAATGATACTCCAACAATAATAATACATAACACCTTGTAGCAATATATATATACCAATCTAAAAATTTCTACACTGAGAGAAGTGTGAATACAGACAAGAGTTTATCTCTGGTATAATAGTGAGAACTTCATCAGCAATATCGTTCGAGAAGCACGTTGGCTTGATAGCACACTGACGAAAATGAATAACAAAGACCTTTTACTTTTGAAAGTAGAAATTAAGTTGTTTCATGTTGATTCTGATCATGTACGTTATATACGGATGATCTTATTCTAAATAAACGTAATTTTCTCTGTCTATCAGAGAGGCTTCAATGAAATTGTTGGCCAACGTTGTCACTCATTGTCAAACGAATACTGGTAGCATTTTTACACAGATTGAAATGTAAACTGCTCAAAAGTAATTTAAAAAGATACAGTTAGCGAATAACGTGTTTTTACACAGATATTAATGGACATAGACATACAAAGCAATAAACCAAACCTATTTAAAAAGCAGTCAAAATTGGTGACAGACATTACACGACCATGTCGAATGAATAGTGTATCATATTCTGAATAACGTTTTGATAACTTTATCCTAATTTATTAGGAAATTATTTTATTATTCTGTTGATCTTAAGATCATTTTCCAGTTATATATCTGAACTATATATTACTGAATAATCAAATTGTATATTCGCCTACACTGATATCTAAAAAGTATGATTTATGATTATTTATTAGCTAACACAATTCAACTTTTAGTCTACAGCATCTTCAACCAATGTCATGCATAGGAAACATTTTATGAATGGTAAAATGTATAGAGACTGTTTCTTTTTAATATTGTTCTTTCTCCTATTTGCTGTGAGATTTTAACTAAATCATAAAATACAAAATGTATGACAAACGTTTTTCCATTTGGTTTTTTACACAAAACAATTAATCACAAGTAAGACAATTTTTAATAAAATAAAAACGAGTGAATTCGTTGATTTGAAATTCCGGCAAAGAGTAGTGATGTCACATTCCTTTGAAAATCTTAATTCCTGAAATATTCTAAGATGTATTGGTGTAATTCTGTTTAGTGAGAGTAAGTATGAAACAACGTATGATATTTATCCAAATTTCTCCTCACTTTAACGGTAAATTTTAAGAATACCGAGGAACTTAAGCAACCTTTAAAATGACTATAAAAATTTAAAAGCAAACATGAATAGTGGCTAGCACTGGAATCCAAGACGCGCGTTTCGTCCCATTTCGGACTCGTCACCTAGATGTACCTGCATCTCAGAGTTGATGTTCAATCTGGGACTTGAACCCAGTACATTCCGCTCCAAACGCCATTGCGTTATCCACTTAGCAATTGAGTCCTGATAGCCACCTGCTTGTGGGATGGGGTGAAGTTATATTCACTTGTTGTTGTTTACTTGTATCGTCCCATTGTCATTTTGAACTGCAATTGATCAGTCTCTTGTCGACATATGTGAACCCTATGCGGACTGCCTCGATATTGCACATATGCCAACAAGAGACTGATCAATCGCAGTCCAAAATATCAATGGGAAGATACAAGCAAACAACAACAAGTGACAACAAGAATTTCTTTTCCCTATTCAACCGATCGGAAAGCAACAAATATAAAAAAGGATTAATAATACAAAAATGAAGACATTCACAAAGAAGATATCATTTTTAAATTATCAACGAGGTTTTGCAACAGGTTCTTTTGTATTACACTCAGTGTTAGTTGCATGAACTAATCTGAACAGTAATTAAAACATTTAGTCTAAATATAATCTCAAATTAAACCGTAACCTTTAACTTAACCCAGTTAAGTTTATGAATACAGTAGAAACAAGAATGGCTAAGTGAGTTAAATGCCAAGACAAATTGCCAGCTACAAATATTCAAAAAAGAAGATTATCTTCCAGAAAAATACATTTCTAGTGAACAAAGTAAAACTTATTAAGGATATAACACCTACATCTCCTTTCTAAACGTTTTGAAAAAATGAAATTAAATGAATTTGATGATTCATTCGTCAAATAACTTTTAATACCTTTCTGATATTTATGGCAAAAAAATAACATTGGCAACAAAATGTGATTTGATTAGAATGGAAAGTTTGTGAAAATTATTCAATTGGAAGATAGCTTAAATTATGAACTGATTTTGGCTAGATGACTGTTGTAAACCAGTGAATACTTTAGAAAATATTTCGTCATAGTGTGAGACACATCATTAGTGGGCACTCTTGGCCTACCAACTGTTGGATCAACAACTTACCTTACCTTATCGTCACCTTTGTATTAATCATTCAGTATCCAATGTTTCACATTTCTAGAACAAAGGTTGTTCAGCTTAATTCAGCCTATAATCTGAACTATACGTCATAAGAAAAGAGTGGACATCAAGAACATTACACCTAATAACAAAATATATTGATTATTTATACATGAAAATGATAATTTTAAATAGCATTGATGATTTTTAATTCAAGAAATCAAAAGAAAACGATTACTAAACTTAATTTATATAACGTCTCGAAATGATGTAAAAATAGGTAATTAAGTTAACTTCTAGGTGAAAATACTGGATAAAAATCGAAGTGAAATAGATAATGAGCTAACATTTTACTGAACGCAAAATCTTACCCGATAATGTTTAAATGAATAGAATAAGATATTATGAAACTATAAGGAAGCAGTGAATGATGATATTTTTATGATCGCCAAAAACTGACGAAAGGAATAAGATTCTGATAGAATTCTCACTTCAGTTTGATCGAAAATCCATACATCGATATCTTTGAAGCTTTTAAATACATCTCTATCTTATGTCAACTTGATGACAAGCTATTTAAACGAAACCATAAGTGTTATATGTGACAAAATAGTCTAGTTACTTAATAAAATTTAGTACTGAACATCAAAACTATTTAGTTAATAAGCATTTGGTTTTTGATTCATTGATCAAACCAAAACAAAGTAGACTGAAGACGGCCGTCTAACTGAATTTTAATATACCGGTTCATCATAAGTACATAATCGTGGCCACAGTTTAAAATACTTGAATGCTACACATTTGTTTATACGGCTTGAATTATTATATCTTTACAAAGTGTACTGTAACTATAGCATTCGTTCTGTTTCATGTTAGAATTAGCCTCTTAATCTCAGTCGTCAAATAATATTACTTACTCTTTCGTGTATGAAAAAACTAAAATCACCAAGAGAATACTTAAACGACTTGTTTAACCATATACGCCCTATGAAACACAAGTCAGTATGATTAACAATGGTCACGTTATGTGTAGAATAAACCTGATGAAATTATGACGAATTATAGTGTGTTCTTTCTCTAGTGACAAGTCTTGACGATAAATTTTAAACTGACATCTTTTTTACTGCTTTTTGGGGCATCCAAGCAAACTCGATTAGAAAAGAACAGATGAAATGTGATCAAGAAGGTTATCCTAACTGAAGTTAGACTGTCAATATTTATTCGTTTGAAAATCCCCATCATGTTAAAGGCAAAAATGTGAACGGAGAATATTCCTTTCACTAAATTCTCGCTAGGTTCTACAATTATATATCCACATTAATAATCCAAAAAGTGGTCAGGTTTAAGGTAACGTGCATTGTTAAAAATAATAGTATGTGAATTTAGGGTAGTTAAACAAAATGAAATTAGTAATGATGATATGCGCAATGTTAACTTGAATCAGCTTAAACGCTAAGTAAAATTTTACGATTCATGATTGAAATAAATATGGATCACATAGGATGAGAGAAATAATAGTGCAATTACAAACTTGATCAAACGTTCAGTAGTAAAAATCTCATATGGAATCAGTAAGAAATAAGTAGGATGAATGCTAAATAAATGAATCATGTATTCGGAGGATTAATAATGATATTAAACTAATAATAATAACGATAATAATAACAATATTAATAATAATACAAAGATATGTGAATAAAGGTAAGAGAGACAATTATATTTTAATAACTAAATTCATGAGTCGATGTAAGCCAGACCACCATTGGAAACCTCGAAGCACTAGACGGCTGTTCTATCCTAGTATGGAACTCCTCATCAATGCATAACCACGATCCCGCATGCGGGACTATAACCCAGGACCTCCGATCTCACATGCGAATACCTAACCTACAGATCACTGAGCCGGGATCCAGTGGTGTTAATGTCTAACCCATGATTTTGCGCAACCCTTGATCCATCTTAGAGGTAGTCACTAACGAGCACATGATTATAATCAGTATAAGGGTTTGTGGAGATTGTTGTATTTTTATTTGAATTCACCAGTCGATTTAAGTTAGGCCACCATTGAAAACCTGAGTAGTTGCATACTAGGTCGAAACGGCAGTCCAGTGCTTCCAGGTTTTCAACGTTGGTCTAACTGAGATCAATTCGTGATTTAAAATTTGAAAATGACGAAACGCTATTATTGCTAACTTATGGGGTAAAAACAATGAAATAATTACTGACGTTTTTTACCATTTAAACTTAAACAGTAAATAGATTTTCTATACCCTAGATCGATTAAAAATCCAATACACAATAAATAATTAAAAAGAATATCTTAGTAATCATCATGAAATATTTATAATTAAAACAATGATAGAAATAAATAAATAATATATTTGTAATATCCCAAGGAGTATAAAAATTAGATTTTCTACTCATTGGGATATTAAAAATATATTATTTATTTATAACAATCTACCCAATGCTCAATTTACCCAAAAAATATGATCAAATGATGGAAATATATTATTGTGTTGACTTACTTGATAAATAGTCTGACAAGAAAATCTTATGTTTTGTTTGAATATCATTACCGATGTTATGATGGTTGCTTGGATTGCAGTTATTGTTTTGACTATTGTTCCATTTAATATCATCAAAAGTTTGATTAGACTTATACTTTGATAGCAAAGTATAAGTGTTGGTTTGATTTTCATGGATTTTATTGGAATAATGTACTTTTTTGTTATGATTTACTGGTGTATTGAAGGAGGATGATGATTGTAATAAATCATTGTTAGTATACCTGAGATTATGCTTAATGTCATTTAGCATGCATTCTACATATGTTGTTGCCGTTGTTGTTGGTAATGGTGAGATGAAGCTTGAAGTAGTAGTAGACAATGTATTGATATTTGTTAGAATAGGAGAAGTAGTAATTGTTGTCATGGTATCGCTAGCATTATTGATAGATACCCGTGTAGTTCTTGTAATATTGTTAATACATTTACAATTTCTTAACTCCATTAATTTCGTGTTCTCACTTTGTATAACTTGAGTAGATAACTTCGGTATATTATGACAAGTTGAAACCTTTGGGAAAAAAAACAAAACGGAAATAACAATATAAAAAATACATTTCCAAAATTTTATTAAAAATAATAAAACTCAGACAGACAACTAGATATATACAACAACGAAAAATAAGAAAGATGTAATATTAATAATGAATAAATTCATTTATAAGAATGGTAAAGAATAATTAATTAGATGGATATATATGTAAACGCCCAATATTCTTACATAAAAATCCAATAAATGTCTATATTTAACTCTAAAATTTAATTTCTAATATAAAATACAAACTAGAAGGGTGTGGTCAATTTAAAATATCAGCAATACTCATAGAAAAATAAAATAGTTGTAAGATTTACTCGTCTTTTTAAAAAATAATACTCAACCATAACGGTTAAAAATACGGAATTTGTTTTTCTATACCATTACTTCACCTAGACAATTACTTATCTTTAACTTGTACAAAGTAATTTTCATCAACAACATATGACTAATTTTAATTGGATTTATAATGCCCATCAGTCCATTATAAAACAGTTCTGAGAGGAAACGTTACTGTATTCATATTCATATTCATTTTAAATAGCTTTACAACCTGAAATTGATAAAATGGAAAATATTTCCAAAACATATCTGACTAAATTAAACATTCGATCAGTATTTTACGTGATCCTATACACTAATCACCTACTGATAAATCGATTATCCAGTTTGATCTAATATCTATTCATAGAACTAAATACATAGGTCGCTCACTGAAAATTATTTGTCAAAACATTACAGAGTACAATGCTTGTGAATTTAGGTTATATCGAGGCAATACGCACAGTATGCACATATGCCAATAAGAGACTGACCAGTTGCAGTCCTAAAGATCAATGGGAAGATGCAAACAAACAATACTACGTTGAATTACAGAGTATTGTTAATAAAGGAGATCTCAGAACAATAAAATAATTTGTTTCTCAACGTGTACTTGACTTGATCTGTAGAAATGTATACATTTAAAATGATAAACTATTCAACACATAAATATTTTCAACAAAATGTTTTAAAAATCATTTATTTTATTATTATTACTATTGTTATTATTATTAGTTTATCCTATTAAAAGTCCAATCATATCCTCATCTTCAATGGATTTGATTAATCTACATTGGAAAAAAAATTCGATTTTTAATTTTTCACTTATGTTCTTTTCTTATATTTTCTAATCGATTTGATCATTAATTTATTTTATGAGTTGAATTCAATTAAAATGATAGTATTATCTAAATTTTACATACATTTACACATGGATACCAATATGTTACCCAGTTACTAAATTAATTATTTTTTATAGAAATTTTCTTGTATAACTTTTAAAAAGTAAATCATAAAAACAGAAAATTTAATTTCACTTGATATTATTTGTTTGAATCTTCCCATTGATGTTTAGGACTGCAACTGGTCAGTCACTAATTGGCATATGTGCATACTGTGTGTATTGCCTCGATATAGCCCTAATTCACAAGCATTATAAGCAAAGATGGATAGTGGCTAGCAGTAATATTCAATATCTATAGTTTAGACAACTATTACTTTTGTCATACTTTTGAATATCCTATGATTTTTTGAAAAATATGTTCAAAACATTATTTTATCAAAATGTTTATATCGCGAATCGCTATTTGGATTCATCTTTTTTTTTTTAATAAGTTAAAAAAAATAATAAATAATTAAAAAATGTTCATGTTCAGTTTAAATCAAGTATTTGATAATTTACATGAAAATGAATGAAGAGATGAATTAATTGCAAAATCCTGGGTTGGAATCTCGCGATAAGGGATCGTGGATGCGCACTAGTAAGAAGTCCCACAATAGGACGAAACGGCCGTCCAATGCTTCCAGGTTTTCCATCGTCGTCTAGCTTCAATTGACTCATAATCTCAACTATATAAAATTATTAAAACCTCCACAAAACCCCCTTCTGATAATGATCATATGCTCACTAGTGACTGGCTCCATGAGGTATTTACTGGAGTTCTAGTGAGAAGCAGTAACCAATGGAGCTCAACCAGGTCTGTTGGGAGATATCAACTCACTGAAGACATTGGTGAATGGTTGCTCAATTTCGTGGATTGGTTGAAGTTAGACATTAACACCGTTGGATGCCGGCTCAGCGGTCTATGGCTTAAGTGCTTGAGCACAAAACTGGTAGGTCCTGCGTTCGAATCTCGCGAGGTGGAATCGTGAGTGCGCACTGCTGAGAAGTCCCACAATGGGATGAAACATTCGTCTAATGCTCCCAGGTTTCCATGGTGGTCTAGCTTCAATTGACTCATGATCTCAACTATATAAAATCATTAACTGTATTAAGCCTATTTTGTGAATGGATATATCACGGATATGATAATTTTAGAATGAAATTTTAAAAAAGAATTAAAACTTCAATGTATATTGTAACGTATAAATATTATACATGCACAAGTGTATATTTTACTAAAGAAGTAATAGTTTAGCTTTTTTTTTCAATTTTTCAAGTTCTACAAGTATACTAAAATTAATATTGGAATCACGAAAACTTAATCGTATAAAAGGATAGAAGCATTCATGAAAGTATAATAAAAGTAATTTAATTCAGTAATTCAGTTTTGATAAAAAGATGTTTAATAAAATAATATTCAAAGCAAGAAGTTCCTTGAAATCATGTATACCTCAAAAATCTTGTTTTCTAATTTGTTCATTAAAATATTTCCGATATACTATTATTATTAAAATTTGCATTAACTCTTAAACATTTTGTAAGTGATAATAATACAAATATAATTTGTCAATGAGACTGAACTGATTTGCAGATTGTTCCAACTGATTAAAAAAAATGTATTTCATACATTAACATATTACAACATAAAAATATGGTAGTAATTGTTTCAACGGAACAATGTCATTAGAAAAATTAAAAATAAACGGAGCTGAAAAGAAACATCATTAGATAGATAGTTTACCTAGAAACAAATTTCGCAAATTGCACAAAAAGGAGTATATTCTTTGTCTAATAAAATGTTCATTAAAATTATTCAAAACGTATTTAGGTGAAAGAAAACATTGTAAACAATTAATTTAACCTGTAACGGTTTGCATTAGACCCTTTTCAGTGTTTTGATCGAAGTTTAGTCAGTCTTAGTTGGTATGTGCATTCTGTTCTGATTACCTTGACATAGTCATCATTTCACAAACTTATAGGTAACCGATTGAATGTGTCTAGCAGTAGAATTAATGACATGGCTTCCGTCTTATTCGGAAACCGTCAGCTGGATGTACCTGTATCTTATAGTTGGTGCTCACTCTGAGATAAAAACCAAGTATCTTTCGTTTTAAACGCTCAACATGTTACACATTTAGCTTCTGAGTCAGACAGCTGTTCACTTGTGCAATAAGTATGAACTCTAATTTTGTCTGCAATGGCACACGACCACCTTATTGGTGGACGAATACTTCAACAGATTCACTAAGATATTTTTCACAAAAAATATTAATGAATCAAATGTATCTAAGGATATTTTCATGTTTTACAATGTATGTCGTTTTTTTTAAAGTCACTTTAATGTTATTAATATCTTCATAAAATGTTTGTCACAGAAGCAAAATTGACTTTCTAAAATTACTTACTTGAAGGCGGCCTGCTTGAATACCTGGGCTACCTGTTTTCTGCCATCTAAATATTTCAACAAGTTATCTGGGTGTTTTTTTTTAATTTGTTTTAACCTATCATTATGTCTATTAATCGCATAACCTACACAGGCGCGTTTATAAAATGCTTACGTCCTTTCGCTTCAAAAATTACAAACAAGCACAATAAGAGACATCGTGGTGGTTGGCAATATGCTTTAAAGAGAATAAACATCAATCAAATGTCGATTTCCGAGCTACTTAACTCTAACTGTCGATCACTAATTAACAAGGTGGACTATCTCCAATTTCTGCTAAGTCAAAACATGTATCGTAATTGTGGTGTCATCACAATTCAAGAATCTTGGTTAACTGACTTACAGGATGATTGCTTAGTGTCATTACGTGATTTTAATATCTATCGTCAGGATCGATCAAACAATAAAAAGACTTGTGGTGGCGGAGTAGCTACTTTTGTAAACGTTAACTGGTGTCGATCTACTTTTGCCTCTTTCAAGTTTTCAAACGACTTTATTGACTGTCTAACTTTAAGGTGCCGAACAAAACACCTGAATAAATACAAATATATTTATGTTACCAATATCTACATGACTCCAGACTGCACATCATCTGCGCTATCTGTCTTCACTGATAAATTTACTGAATTCGCCGTTACTGCCTTCAGTGATTCACTTTCAATTGTATGTGGTGATTTCAATTCATGTGACTGTAGCTTCCTTACATCACTAGGTCACCTAAATGTAGTAGATTTTCCTACTCGTTTGAATTCTCATCTAGACTTGGTTTTCATTAATGATGTGGATGCCTATGTGACTCGCAAACGTGCTCCATTGTCTAGTTCGGATCACTGTATAATTCGTGTCTTACCTAAAGTATGTGGTAAACATGGAAAGAGTACACACATACACCATACCAAAAAAGTAATATATAGGAATTACTCAGAAGAAAATTTACAAAATCTAAAAAACAAGTTTCGTACGACTAACTGGGAATTATTTACAGATGACTCAATAGAAAACACAACGGATGTTATCACCTCTTATCTTAAATTCTGTTTTGATATTTGCTGTCCTACCGAAACCTTCTTTTTAAGTTTTGATCGACTTACATCTCCACAACTAAAACGACTACGGAGGGTAAAAGAAAGGATTTACAAGGAGAAAAACACTATTGAAGTTCGTAAGATAAATGATCAAATAAACCAAGAGATTAGACGTCTCAACTATGTGTTCACTCAAAAACTTCTATCTTGCAGAAGCTCTCCAAGTATGTGGAAACTCTTTAAAGAAATTACAGGGGACAGGCAGACTAGAAGCGATAACCAGCTAAATGTTTGTGACTTAAAT